GGGAGTGGCGGCATATAAGTTTAAATAATAATAAGAATAAAAAATAATAATAATAATTCCAGAGTCGCGGGGCCACCACCGAAAAGGCCCTGTCCCTTGTCCACACCAATTGCGCTTGTGATGCGGTTGGGATCGTGAGCAGAGCCTCTCCAGATGTGTGGCGGGGGACGGCTATTACGTGTTTGTGTATGTATGTATATAGATAGATAAATAGAGATTTCTATATATTTCTATGGGGGTGTGAGCCCAGGGCCGGCCTGATCTCCATCTCCTCCTCCTTCCCCTGGGGTCTCCTGCCTCCACTCACCCGTCGTCCCCTCCCAGGCGCGCCTCCGGACCCGGAGTAGAAGTAGAGCTCCCTGCCCAGGTTGAAGCAGACGCGGCTCCTCTCGGCAGCCAAGGCCCCGGGGTCGCCCTCCCCGCCGGGGTCCCCTCCTCCTCCTCCTCCGCTGGAAGAGTTCAGCCGCACCAGGGAGAGGCGGACGGGAGGCAGCGAGGGGGCGGGCGGTGGAGGCGGCGGCGGGGCTCCTCCCGAGGCGGAAGACGACGGCGGCGGCGGCGGCGCTGCGGAGGAAGAGGAGGAAGAAGAAGGGGTGGCCGCTCCGGCGGGCTTGGCCCTCGGCTCGGGCGCCCCCAGCAGCCGGTACGAGCCCTCCCTGGTCCGGAACTGGCTCTTCACCTCGTAGGGCGGCTGCTGCTGCTGCTGAGGCGGCGGCGGCGTTGGCGTCGGGCCTCCGTCCTGGGCCGGAGGAGCCAGCGCCGCCGCCATCTTGCCGCCGGAAGTGGCGACCCCCGGATCACCTCCCCGCCCTCCGTTGCTCGGCAACCGCGGGAGGGTGGGGGCACGGAAGGGGCGTGGCTTCCGAAACGCCGCGCTGGGATTGGTCCCCCGGGTGTGACTGACGTAACGGCTAGGCGAGGCCCTTAGCAACCCTGGGAGGATGGAGCCCTTAGCAACGGGTACCTCTGCTTTAGGCCTTGGCAGCAGAAGGAACATCTACACAAATGACCAGCCACTGCCAGAGTTTCATCTATGCTGATGATCGTGCCATCACTGCTCAAGCAGAGAACTTTGAGATGGTAGAACAGAAGCTCTCCGAAGCTCTAGGTGTCCTTACTGCCTATTACAGTTTGATCTACACACTGTAGATTTAAGCCTGTTTGACACCACTTGAACTGTATGCCTCAGGGGAGCGTGCTTGCTCCATCCATGTTCAACATTTACACAAATGAACAGCCACTGCCAGAAGGGACAGAGAGCTACATCTATGCTGATGATCGTGCCATCACCGCTCAAGCAGGGAGCTTTGAGATAGTAGAACAGAAGCTCTCCGAAGCTCTAGGTGCTCTTACTGCCTATTACAGGGAAAACCAGCTGATCCCTAATCCATCTAAAACACAGACATGTGCTTTTCATCTCAAGAACAGACAAGCATCCCGAGCTCTGAGGATTACCTGGGAAGGAATCCCACTGGAGCATTGCAGCGCACCCAAGTACCTGGGAGTCACTCTGGACCGTGCTCTGACCTACAAGAAGCACTGCCTGAACATCAAGCAAAAAGTGGGTGCTAGAAACAATATCATACGAAAGCTGACTGGCACAACCTGGGGATCACAACCAGATACAGTGAAGACATCGGCCCTTGCGCTGTGCTACTCTGCTGCTGAGTATGCATGCCCAGTGTGGAACACATCTCACCACACTAAAACCGTAGAGAATCATAGAATCATAGAATCAAAGAGTTGGAAGAGACCTCATGGCCATCCAGTCCAACCCCATTCTGCCAAGAAGCAGGAATATTGCATTCAAATCACCCCTGACAGATGGCCATCCAGCCTCTGTTTAAAAGCTTCCAAAGAAGGAGCCTCCACCACACTCCGGGCAGAGAGTTCCACTGCTGAACGGCTCTCATAGTCATACTGGGCATGCATACTCAGCAGCAGAGCAGCATAGCACAAGGGCAGATGTCTTCACTGTATCTGGTTGTGATCCCTAGGTTGTGCCAGTCAGCTTTTGGATGATATTGTTTCTAGCACCCACTTTTTGCTTGATATTCAGGCAGTGCTTCTTGTAGGTCAGAGCAGTGAGTAACTCCCAGATATTTGGGTGCACTGCAATGCTCCAGTGGTATTCCTTCCCAGGTAACCCTCAGAACTCAGGATGCCTGTCTGTTCTTAAGGTGGAAAGCACATGTCTGTGTTTTAGATGGATTAGGAATCAGCTGGTTTTCCTTGTAATAGGCAGTAAGAGCACCTAGAGCTTCGGAGAGCTTCTGTTCTACTATCTCAAAGCTCCCTGCTTGAGCAGTAATGGCACGGTCATCAGCATAGATGAAACTCTCTGTCCCTTCTGGCAGTGGCTGTTCATTTGTGTAAATGTTGAACATGGATGGAGCAAGCACGCTCCCGAGGCAGGCCGTTCTTCTGTTTCCGCCATCTGCTTCTCTGGCCCTGGAACTCAACAAAAAAGCTCCTGTTTTGTAGCAAGTTTCCTATGAGGCAGGTGAGACAGTAGTCCTTTGTGATATTATACATTTTTCTCAGGAGGAGGCGGTGGTTTACAGTATCATAAGTTGCCAACAGGTCTATGAAGACAGCTCCTGTGATCTGCTGCCTTTCAAAGCCATCTTCTATGTGCTGAGTCAGGTTCAGCACTTGCGATGTGCAGCTTTTGCAGCTGCCCCCAGATTATATGCTTTGAAGTGGATTATATGGCAGTGTAGACGCAGTGTACACTCAGTCTACTCAGGGTCCTTCCACACAACCCTATATCCCGGAATATCTAGGCAGAAAATCCCACATTATCTTGAGTGTGGACTCAGATAACCTAGTTCAAAGCAGATATTTTGGGATTTTCTGCCTTGAATAGTCTGGGTTGTGTGGAAGGGCCCTCATAATCTGGTTCAAATTAGACATTATGGGTTGTTCTGTCTTGATGTTCTGGGTTATGTGGCTGTGCAGAAGGGCCCTCAGGCCACTTCCACACAACTATATAACCTAGAATATCAAGGCAAATAATCCACAATATCTGCTTTAAATAGATTATCTGAGGCCTCTTCCACACAGCTGAATAAAATCCCACATTATTTGCTTTGCACTGGATTATATGACAGTGTGGACTTCAGATAACCCCATTCAAAGTAAATATTGTGGGGATTTTTTTCGTGTCAGGATCAACTAAAGAAACTTCTGGTGTGAGAAAATTGGCCATCTACAAGGATAATGCCCAGGGGGCATCTAGATGTTTTGATACTTTACCATCCTTGTGGGAGGCTTCTCTCATGTACCCGCATGGGGAGCTGGAGTTGACAGAAGGAGCTCATCCGCGCTCCCCCTGGATTCGAACCTGTGACATGTTGGTCTTCAGTCCTGTTGGCAGAAGGGTTTAACCCATTGCGCCGCCGAGGATGATCAGATTGTGGATGATCTGCCTTGATATTCTGGGTTATATGGCTCCGAGTCCACATTGCCATATAATCCAGTTCAACGTGGATTTTATACAGCTGTTGTGGAAGGGGCCCTACACAGCTGAATAAAATCCAGATTATCTGCTTTGAAGTGTATTATATGCCAGTGTAGACCCAGATAATCCAGTTCAAGGCAGATCATGTGGATTATCTGCCTTGATGTTCTGGATTATATGGCAGTGTAGAAGCACCTGCAGAATATCACGGCAGATAATCCACAATATCTGCTTTGAACAGGTTATCTAATGCCCCATCTACACTGCTATATAAAATCCAGATTATCTGCTTTGAAGTGGATTATATGGCAGTTTAGACTCATGTAATCTAGTTCAAAGCAGATAATATGGATTATCCGATTTGATAATCCAGATTATATGGCAGTGTAGAAGGGGCCTGGGTTCACACTGCCATATAATTCAGTTCAATGTGGATTTTATATAGCTTTATGGAAGGAGCCTAGGCCCCCACTGACACTGCCATATAAAACTCGAATTATCTGCTTTGAACTGGATTAGGAAGTGTATTATTATTATTATTATTATGTTTAATTATGCCCTGCTTTATATATCCTGAAGGGGACTCAAAGCTGCTTAACATAAAAGCATTACGAAATTTAAAATATTTAAAATTACAAATATACCAACATTAAAATAGTATTAAAATTCACAGTTAAAAAGCATTCAACATATTCAAAGCATAATCAAGTTAAAACCACAGCACCTTCTGATCTTAAAAAACCTTCATCTTAAAAATTTGACAGTGTAGACTCACATAATCCAGTTCAAAGCAAATAATCTGGATTTTATATTGCAGTGTAGAAGTAGCCCCAAAGATTCCAGTGTCTGCAAACTCACAATATGGAGTAGGCTCTGCTTTGGATGCAGAAAGTAAAATAACCTGTGTAAAAGTAGTGGTGAATTTAAACCACCAAACAGCCAAGAAAGATGGCGGTTGAGCAATTAGAAAACATGTAACAGTATGCAATTGATGAAATTAGAATTAATTAGAAGTAATAGAATTGACAGAGCTATATTTTTCTAATATAGAGGGGTATGGATTTGGGAACAGATGACATGTCCCCTCGGGGAGAGAAGTAAAGTTTTATTATTTATTATTATTATATAAGGTAATTGTGTTATGTTTTAAATGTTTTTAAATAAATATTGTTTTAAAAGGAAAGGAATCTGAAGAGAGAATAGCTGGGCCTCTGTATTCACAGGTTTAACTATCCACAGCACAAATATTTTTACTACATTGTATACAAAGGGGATTTGACCCAGCCAGTTTTAAGCATGATTTTAAACTCATGTCTTATGTTTCATCTCTGTTCTGTGTATTATAATATGTATGTGTATATATATGTGTGTGTGTGTATGTGTGTGTATATATATGTATGTATGTATGTGTGTGTGTGTGTGTGTGTGTGTGTGTGTGTGTATATATATATATATATATATATATATATATATAGTACAATGTTTATGTTTTTTAATTATGCTGTAACCCATCTTGAGCCACGAGGAGATGCAAGTAAGAAATAAAATTATTGTTGTTGTTGTTGTTTCCAAGGAGTGGGCAGATCCTGGAATCAAACCTCAGATAATATAGGTTCTGAAATTCTTTTATTTGTCTAGAAATCTATATCTTTTCCATTTCTGTTTCGGGACTCCTTTCCTAACAGGCTGAACCCCATTCTCTGCATCTTCAAGAGTCTCTCTTTTTTGCTCCATATTTTCTCTAAGGTTAGTTGTGGGTTTTTTTTTTCTTAATCATCAGCTCTCCATTGTTTTCTCTTCTTCTGGGCTGGGCTTGGGCTCTTCCTTCGCTGGGCTGGGAGACTTTGCTTCGGCCGCTTGGGTCTCCATTTCAGGCTCCTCGGGAGAAGGAGAGGGTTGGTTGGCTGCGGGCAGTTTGCCTGACGATCCTTCATCTGAACTGCTGCTGGCTCCCCCTTCCTTGCTTTGCCCTTCCTGCGAAAAGACACAAAAACCATCATAATACTCTGATCTGTGAAAAACAAAAACCCAGACCTTGTTAGCAGAGTCTTGCTTTATTATAAATTCATAGTGGAAAACATCAAAAGTAAGAAAACAAACATCTTGCATCAGATATCAGACCCTAAACAAAACATTTAGAGTCCCAAACTCCAAAACGCCATAGCTTCTCCAAAAGCTCAAGGCTATAGCAATAGCAGAACGCTGAGGGACGCTGAAAGCTGCTGAAGGCTGCTGCTGGCTGCAGGCAGATGCAACACATTATAACCACAGTAATTAGATCCACCTGCACCCGATTAACCAAAACCACATCACAAGCATTTCAGCAATTAAAGATACAAACTTACTTATACATACATAACCCAAATACATACAATGAACAGATAAAATTTTGCACATTTTTACAGTTCTCCTGACAGACCTGTTGAAGCAACTTGTGTTTATTTTTGTTATTCAAGCTGAATCTGATTATCCTCATTAGATACATTTGGAGGCATGTCTTCGGACAATAATGAACACTCTTTTCTTCTTTCCTTCCTTTCTTTTGCTTTCTTTTCCCTCCTCCTGTATTTCATGTGTATTTTATAGAAATATGTTTTAATATGTATCCTTTGTAGAACTACATTTCAATATGTCTGTTTTTAGAATTTTTGCAATGTCTGTGTGTTTTGATTGTGCTGTGACTCGCCTCAAGCCTCGAGGAGAGACAGGTAAGAAATAATAATAATAATAATAATAATAATAATAATAATAATAATAATAATTTGAAACACAACAAGATGAGTCCACAGCAGACACTGCTGGCTGTTGTATTGGATCACACGTCGGAGACTTCTCAAGTGTCTACGACTGTGTGATGTATCGCCAAATAATGTGTGCAGATCCCCGTAAGGTGGCCTTCTGCAGCTGGCAGATGGTAATCTTGTCAGCACTGATTGTGTTTAAGTGCAGGCCAAGGTCTTTAGTGTGCTGCTTTATTTATTATTATTATAATCATTATTATATTATGATTGCGCTCTGGCACCACGAGATGCAGAGCCAATCTTAAGAAGTGGGGCCACAAAGTGGAATCCACGACATGCGAGTGTGGAGAAGAGCAAACCACTGACCACCTGCTGCAATGCAACCTGAGCCCTGCCACATGCACAAGGGAGGACCTTTTTGCGGCAACACCAGAGGCACTCCAAGTGGCCAGATACTGGTCAAAGGACATTTAATCAACTACCAGCCTGCGGGCTGAGATAGTGCGGTATACAAATAAAGTAAATAAATAAATAATAAATACCAAGTTTGCAAACTTTGTGATTTTTTTATCTGTTTGTTTGTTTTGTTCTGTTAGAAATGTAATACAATGGTCTGGTTGCCCTGACACGATAAATACATTATTATATTATAATATTTATTATTATTTATTTCATTTTACTTTCCTTCCCTACTCCTTTCCTTTTTTCTTTTTCTCCTTTTCTTCCTTCTTTCCTTCTACTCCCCTTTTCCCCTTCTCCAGCTCTAATACGGCCTACCTCACAAAGTGTCTATAATAATAATAATAATAATAATTATTATTATTATTATTATTATTATTTTATTTCTTATCCGCCTCTCCTCATGGCTTGAGGCAGGTTACAATTAAAACACATAAACACTGCAAACGCACCACACATACACATATTAAAACATACCACTATAAAAACTACACACTAAAAAGTATCTCTATAAAATACATATTAAAATACACAAAACAGAGATTATACAAAGGACACGCATTAAGAATTCATGCTGAAAGACTGGGTAGGCCTATGGCAACATGGCTCTTTTGGTAGCCCTTTCCACCCTCCCTTCCCCACATACACGTCACCTTTCTTTTCCAGTAACATCACAGGGGGCCACTTCACCTAACAACAGCCAAACCTTCACCTAGCAACCACCAATTCCGTGACATCACAAGGGGCCACGGGACTGTCATTTTGCAACAGTCTTTACTATACAAACAGACAAACATATACATACTTTGACTTTTATATACATCGATTTATGTTTAATTTTTACATTTTTTTTAATTTTTTGTCCCAATCTGAATGTGGCTGCTCCCATACCACAGAAAAGCTATATATAGTGATTTGAGTTTATGGAAGGAAAAGCGGGATTACAAATGTAATAAACAATTGCAATTAAATTATTCTATGGCTGACTTGAAGTATTTATGTATTTACTGTATTTGTATACCACCTTTCTCAGCCAATCGGCGACTCAAGGCGGTTTCCAACAAATCAGTACATATAAAAAATAATACAGATTAAAACATTAAACAATATAAAACACCACAAAAGCAATAAAAACAACTTCATTAACGTCTCATTATTATCAAGCACTGTCCAGTTCCATTGTCAAATCGTTCGATTTCCTATATTAGCTACTCTGCATTGGTAAACGCTTGATCGAACAGCCATGTTTTAACTTGCCTCCGAAACGTTAAGAGGGAGGGAGCAGATCTAATCTCCCTAGGGAGGGTGTTCCATAGCCGAGGGGCCACCACTGAGAAGGCCCTGTCTCTCGTCCCAGCCAAACGTACTTGAGACAAAGGTGGGACTGAGAGCAGGGCCTTCCCAGATGATCTTAGAGTATCATTCAAAGTATCATTGTATCATTGGATAGTATCATTCCAAGTATCATTGGCTCCTCAGATCCTTTGGGACCACTTAAGACTACCAAAAATGCCAGCAGGTTGGAAGGCAAAGGTACCTTATTGGGCCAGGGTCCCTCCAGACTGGAATCCAGCAGAGAGTTTTCTCCACCAAGGCTCTCCTCCTCCTCCGGCATGCTGATGAAGATGGTGGGATTTTCCGCCTCGGGCACGTCCTCATGCAGGTCCACAGACTCCTCTGACGGAGGGGGGGCCGATGGGGCTGTGGCACGGGGTGGTTGCTGCTGATTTTGCTGCTTGAGCTTCAGCTTCTGCTCTTCTTCCAGTTGGCGCTTGAGGGCCTTTTCCTGTGCCAAGCGGAGGGCGATCATGTCCTGGGACACCCGAGGAAGAAGCGGCTGGGGCTCAGCTTCTTCCTGTGATGGAAATGGAAGCTCATCAACACACACACACATACACAGAACCCTTCCCTTCTTCCTTTTCTTCCAAACTATCAGCTAAATAGAGGTTTAATGGCTTCATTACTGGGCTTCCATTTCTTTTACAGCTACAGGAAAAGTATTGGGTTGTTGTAGGTTTATCGGGCTATACGGCCATGTTATAGAAGCATTCTCTCCTGACGTTTCGCCTGCATCTATGGCAAGCATCCTCAGACGTTGTGACCTCACAACATCTGAGGATGCGTGCCATAGATACAGGCAAAATGCCAGGGGAGAATGCTTCTAGAACATGGCCATATAGCCTGAAAAACCTACAACAACCCACTGATTCCAGTAATGAAAGCCTTCGACAATATATTGGGTTGTTGTAGGTTTTTCGAGCTATAAGGCCATGATCTAGAAGCATTCTCTCCTGATGTTTCGCCTGCATCTATGGCAAGCATCCTCAGAGGTCTCAGAGGTTGTAACCTCACAACTTCTGAGGATGCGTGCCATAGATGCAGGCGAAATGTTAGGAGAGAATGCTTCTGGAACATGGCCATATAGCCCGAAAAACCTACAACAGCCCATTGATTCCAGCCATGAAAGCCTTCGACAATATATTGGGTTGTTGTAGGTTTTTCGGGCTATACGGCCACGTTATAGAAGCATTCTCTCCTGACGTTTCGCCTGCATCTATGGCAGACGCGACTGGTGGGGACGAGAGACAGGACCTTCTCAGTGGTGGCCCTTCGGCTGCGGAACTCCCCCCTTAGTGGGATTCAATTGGCCCCTTATTTATTTATTTATTTACTTTACTTGTATACCGCAGTTTCTCAGCCCAACAGGCGACTCAACGCGGTTGAGCCCCTTCCCTCCTGTTGTTTTGCAAATAAGTGAAAACAAGCATTTGGCCCAGTATAACTATCTGTGCAATACCGTTTGAATTGACCCTGGATTTATGGAAATTATCGTTTGATTATCTGGCTTTGGATCTATGCACCATAGTTATCTAATGTTTGCATATTTTGTTTAAATGTTGTTTTAAATGGTTGTTAATTGCTTTTAATTGTTGCTTGGGCATGGAATAATGCCAATTATGTAAGCCACCCTCAGTCCCCTTCAGGATGAGAAGGGCAGGATACAAATATTGTAAATAATAAATAAACATTTATTTATTTATTTTCCTCAGATATATAAACCTCATTTTCCTAGTTTCCATCAGACCTCACAACCTCTGTGGATGCCTGCCATAGATGCAAACGAAACGTCAGGAGAGAATGCTTCCAGAACATGGCCATATAGCCCGAAAAACCAACAGACCTCACAACCTCTGAGGATGCTTGCCACAGATACAGGCAAAAAGTCAGGAGAGAATGCTTCTAGAACATGGCCATATAGCCCGAAAAACATACAACAACCCAGTGATTCCGGCCACAAAAGCCTTTGACAATACAGGAAAAGTATTGTCTCTGGTTTCTTTGTTCGAATAAACCAGGCATGGGCAAACTTTGGTCCTCCAGGTGTTTTGGACTTCAACTCCCACAATTCCTAACAGCCTACCAGCTGTTAGGAATTGTGGAAGTTGAAGTCCAAAACACCTGGAGGGCCAAAGTTTGCCCATGCCTGAAATAAACACTACAGAATGCTTGTCCCTTAATATTATCACCTCCTAACCTGGATATTCTCTCCTTGTCTCCTTTCCGTTTCCCAACACTCCCAAACCCAAAATATCATTATGCAGGTTGCAGCTGCTCAGCAAAAGCCTTATTTGTGTTCAGTGTTATGAACCAGCCTCCTGTCGACGCTTCTCACCTCTCTTTCCCTTTTTATCCCCTTGTTCTTGGGGGGCGCAGGGCCCCGCACTTCCTCGGTCGCCTGCAAGTCTTTTCCTTCGGCCTCTTGCTTGTTGCTCGCTTCCAGGATAGCCATGGTGGAATTGGGGACATGGGCTTGCTGAAAGACAAGGGGAGCAGAGATGTGAAAAGAGAGTCCATTCATCAGATTAATAATGAAAAGTAAAGGTTTCCCTTTGACATTTTGTCTAGTCAGGTCCAACTCTGGGG